TTGATAGGTTATTTTTCATGTCACGTTGGAAAATCTGATACTTTTTATATGCTTTGTAAATGCAGTATAAGTTACCAGACTCCATCTGCCCTATACTTTTACTTATTTATTGCACATCACGGCATGTGTTACTTAACTGTTCTGAGCTAATACTTATTACTGCTGTTTGAGCAGTGGCTGGAGCTCAATCGAATGGTGCCATGCCGACTACTTCCGGTGGCACTGAAGTGGATTTACTTGGCTCCTTATCTGAGCCATTTTCCTCCAATTCATTAGCCCTTGTATCAGCAACTACAACCACCTCTGACGTTAATCCTTTTGGGCCTACTAGTTCTGAACCTATGTTTGGCGGAGCATCACCTGCAGCTTCTGTCCCTAACCAGGTTGGCTTTAATTCATAGACAGGTTTACTTTGTACTTCATTTTACGCGTTCATCATCCTAACAGTCATGTACTAATTCACCTTTTGGTTAAGTTATGAAGAAGGGAGGGAGCTGATTAATTGGCCTTCCTTTAGTGGAGCCTCTATATTTCTTCCTTTTCATCCTCTTTCTCGAGGGCTGAAAAAAGTTAGAGGTGGAGGTTGTAGAGGCGCTGATCTGCCTTGATCCAATGAGGGAAATGACTCTTACCCTCGCGTTTTTACTTTCCCTTGTTCTAGACTTCTCTCTTTCCACCCAGGCAATATTTTGAAAATGTTGGAAGCACAAGGTGAGGTGAGGCAATATCTCAAGCTGTGAGTGCGCATCTTGAAGTAATCCTTTCCACCCGGGCAATATTTTGAAAAAGTTGAAAACCTTTTTCTACTCCAATTTTTTTTGGTTTAAGAGTCATCTTGAAGTAATCTCATATGTTTTCTGTTTTAATCAAGATGATCTCATTGACTTTCAGAACCATTTTGTAGTTTAAGCTCTTTGAATTTCAGAATAGAAAAAATTAAGTCTACCTTTATTATTTGATTGTCATATGGTTTATCTTCTAAATCCGCAGGGTGGACAATGTATATATTACATTCCTTCCAGTGCACTTGATGTTATTTGTTTGATACCATTTGCCTGGATATTTATTGACAAATTTTAACACATTTTGGCTTTATCTGTGTGTGTGGTTGGAAGGAGGTAAGATAAGCCAAAAACACAGCAGACATGAAGAGGACCTTGTAAATGGAAATTGACGATCTTAATCATATGTTGTATGCCTATATCATATTACACACCAGTATTTTAATCATCTGTTGTCATTTACTTAACGACTGAAGTTTGCGCTTTCCTGTAGATGTTTGAGGATCCTTTTGGTGATGGTCCGTTCAAAGCTGTACCGACCTCAGAGACAGTGCAAATTCAGCTGCAGAACATTGCTCCTCCATCTTTCCTTCCTAACTCAAATCAAAGTGCTGAGGCTTTTCTGTCAGTCCCTCAGAGTGCTGAGGTCCCGAGTACAACATATGCAGCACCCAATTATGCTCAGCTGGAGCTGTCCACATCCAACCATGATATTGATATATTGGCTGATATTCTCCCGCCTTCTGCTCCTTCACCTTCCGTGCATCCCACGAATGACCATGCTATCCCAAGTGGCCAACTTGCGGCACAGACAGGTTTTCCATCTGACTGTTGGCTAGCTGCACAGCCAACAGGTCATGCTGCTTCACTAACAGGTTTTGCAGATCAACCTGGTTTACAGTCACCGCAAACAAGTTTTCCCATCCATGGGCAACCTGTATCTCAGATTGGGTTCTCTGCTCAAACGAGCCATTCTCCATCTTTTGGTGGTTATTCGGTTCCACCTGGCCAAACACCACAGACAAGTTTTGGGCCGCAAAATGGCCCTGCATCTCTTAATGGCTTCCCATCTGCATCGGGTTCATTTCCCCACCCTGGAATTCAGGTCACTGCTGGTCACTCTATGCAGACTACTGCTAACTTTGGAGGCTACAGCACAGGATTGGGATCTACAGGTTCAGTTAGTATGCAAATGGGTCAAACTCCCACTGGATCATCTTTCCTTGCGCAGCCAGCTACAGCATCCGATATACCTTCACAAATGAATTTTCAATATTCACAAAATCAAACAAGTAATTTGTCAGTACCCTCACAGTCTACTCCAGTTTCAACAGCTCTCATCAGCAGCAACCAGCCAGCCAAAGACAAATTTGAGACAAAATCTACCGTTTGGGCAGATACACTGAGCCGTGGATTGGTCAATTTGAACATTTCTGGACGTAGGTTCTTGTGCTTTTGCCTCTCTGAAATCTGAATATCTTTTCTTTTTCTTCGTAGTTATAAAGTTGCATTTTTGTATATGCAGCTAAGACAAATCCTTTAGCTGATATTGGAGTGGATTTTGATGCTATTAACCGCAAGGAGAAGAGGATGGAGAAACCTAGTACAGCCCCTGTGACATCAACTGTTACCATGGGCAAAGCAATGGGTTCTGGTTCTGGTATTGGTCGTGCTGGCGCAGGTGCTCTAAGGCCTTCATCAAATCCAATGGTAGGGTCTGGCATGGGCATGGGCATGGGTATGGGTGCTGGTGCTCCTGGAGCGAGTGCGAGCATGGGAGCATATGGAGTAAACCAGCATATGGGTATGGGTGCTGGTGCTCCTGGAGCGAGTGCGAGCATGGGAGCATATGGAGTAAACCAGCATATGGGCATGGGAATGGGGATGAATAGACCAATGAACATGGGAATGAGCATGAACTTGGGGCAAGGAGTCCACATGCAACAGCCAACTGGATTTCCTCCTGGATCTACCATGCCAGGAGGCTACAATCCCATGATGGGCAACGGTAACTATGGCCAACAATCATTCGGTGGTGGGTACCAATGAGCTTAAGCCTGTCATTTCGGAAAGTAAAGAATGTTTCCTAGCCTGTTGAGCTCACCATCTGTTGTAGAGTCAATACTTTTGGGTTATACATGTAGTTTTGCGGATAAGAGGTTAGAGTTGTATCTTAATTCATTCTTTCAGCATTGTTCTATAGTTGCATTACCAATGTCCCCTTTTTTGGGTCAGAGAGCGCTTGCATAGATGACTCGCACATTGTTTAGTTGTGTACAATTGAGGATCACCTATCTCAGGTGTCCTCTTTTTTTGCAATTTGATCCATATATATACATGTAGATTTTTTGGAGTCATTGATTATGGAACACCAGATTGTTGAACAATAATATGATCATTCATTTTACGTATTGATTCACTGGTTTTATGTTTGTGAAAATGCCAAGGGGGAAACAAGAAAGGCACATTGAAGATGAAGAAAAGAATCCCCCAATTGGAAAAAGAATGACAGCTTATTTATTAACTTCTCGTATTTATTTGAGAATCGCTATTTCAGCATCCGAACATGTTATTTTAACCACTTATGTATGGACACGAAAATCAATCGAAAATTGAGAGAAATCAGATTTATATAATTTGAGTAACCACTTCAATCTACTACTAACTACTCTTATTACTGTAGTAATAGACTAAAGCTCCCATGTGTGTTACTACAGCTCCGCGTTGATCTTAGGGGTCGTTTGGTAGAAAAGATGTTATCCCGAGATTAATTATTCCGCATTTCCTTGGGGATAAAAAATACTATAATCCTAGGATAATTAATCCTGGGATTGATTATACCGTAATTTTCTCCCAGCCAAACATGGAATAAACTCTTCTTAAATTTTAGTCCGGGATTACTTATTCATTATCCCTCATACCAAACGAGTCATTAACTATTGAGGTAGCTTCTAGGACATGACTGAAATTCAAGGGGGGAAAAGATGAGTTTCAACGACGAGAGACTACTACTACTACTACAAGAATTCTTTCCCAAAATATGCACTTTTGGAGGATTAGGAATTAGGAATTTGAGAGTACAAAATCACACCTTGATGATGAAATGGTTCAGGAGATATGGTTCCAATGAAAATTCACTTTGGAAGGAAGTAATCAAAGGGAAATATGGAGTAGAAGCCAACTGGGCAACCAAACATGTTAGTGGTCCTTATGGAGTAAGCCTCTGGAAGTCCATTAGAAACTTATGGCCAAAATTCAGAAGCAAGGCCCACTTCAGAGTAGGTAATGGTTTGAAAACTTCTTTCTGGGAAGACAACTAGCTCGGCCAAAATTTACTTAAGCAGCTATTTCCTGACATCTACATCCTGAACCAGTAACAAGAAGCAACTGTGGGTGAAGTATGGTCTATCCATGGTTGGAACCTTAGCTACAGAAGTCTACTCAATGACTAGGAGATAACCAGGATAACAGAATTTTACAAAACACTAAATCAGTTCAAGGGGACATCACTCTCTGAAGACTGTATTCTATGGCAAGGGAACAGGCAGGGTATTTTCTCAGTCAAATCAACATACAAGGAATTCAACGTCTCTAATAACCAGATTGATTGCTGGCCTTGGAAGTTAATATAGAAAGTCAAAATTCCATATAAAGTTACCTGCTTTACTTGGCTCTTGGCTAGAAAAGCAGTTCTGACTTAGGACATCCTCATCAGAAGGGGCTTCCACCTATGCTCCAAATGCTATCTATACAGCGAAGAGGCTGAGACAATCAACCATCTTTTTTTGCATTGCAGGATTACAAAACAAATATGGAGGATTTTCATTAATTTGAAGGGGATCATGTGGGTAATGCCTAGGGATATAATTGACGTCCTAAGATGCTGAAGCAATTACGACACCTTATCCAATAAGAAAGAAAGATGGAAAATAGGCCCAACTTGCATTTGGTGGACAGTTTGGTCAGAGATAAATCAGAGATGCTTTGAAGACAGAAGTAACACCATACAGAAATTGAAAATGAAATGGTTAGTTCTTTTCCACTTTTGGTGTAAACAAAAGTATATGGAAGATCCAGAATCCATTATTGATGTCCTAGGCTCTCTGTAGTACAGTAGGGATTTAAGATCTTCCTATACCATCTTCTGTAAATTTGAAAGACCGCACCTCCTTGGTGCAGTTGATATATATACAAAATTGTTACTTTCTAAAAAAAATACATTTTTGGCTTGGCAATTTCAGTCGTGTGTTATTTTTAAGAGAATACCATAAATATGCAAAACACATTTGTGGAAAAATGAAAACCGTTATTATACATGCTATAAGTCGGATATACTGAATGCGATTTATAAATCATATAGTAAAAACAATTTATAATTTGTATTTATCGACTGCGATTTACAATTTGCATTTCCAAATATAAAATGCTACTACTAATTACCCCAATCGGCCATGTTGAGTTAGGCCCAATGTCCATTCTAATCACGTCTGGTACCAATGATCCACCTTGTACTGTGTTCTTGTATAAAAACAAGGTCATCAAGAAATAAAACAGCAGATTTAAGTGATTTGGCTAAGCGACTAACGGCTATGAGATTAAAAGGACTACCAGGAACATAAAGAACTGAGTCTAAAGGTAAGGAAGGAAGTGGACTTGCTTGACCTATTGCAGTTGCCATGGCTTGAGACCCATTGGCCATTGTGACTGTTGGAAGATATTGAGAATATGAGATACTAGTGAAAAGAGATTTATTACCAGAAATATGATCAGATGCACCTGAAGCAATGACCCAAGATTTAGAAGGTGAAGATTGGGAGACACCAGTCATGCTACTATTTGTTGAAACAACGGAAGTTAATCCTGAAGATGTCTGTTTACGTGCTTTGTACTGAAGGAAGTCAATATAATCCGGTAAAGAAACCATCTAGATTGGATTTATTGCATTTAATCCAACTGATTGTGAATTAAAGGCTTCAGGTGAAAATTCCATTATAATATCGTGCCGGAAAAAGCAGAAAATTGTTGGAATCACTATTCACGCCGGAAAAAACACTGTAGCTCGCCGAAAAAACTCAAAGTGGTCGGAATTTGATTTGGATAGCTAAAGATGGCATACGATTAATAAGATAACAAGATGTAAGAACTGCATCCCCCCCCCCAAAAAAAATGCAGCGGAACATGAGATTGTATGAGTAGGGTACCAGCAGTTTCAATAAGATGTCTATTCTTTCTTTCAGCTACCCCATTTTGCTGGGATGTGTACGGACAAGATGTTTGATGAATAATCCCATGGGAGTTCATAAACTGCTGAAATGGGGAAGACAAATACTCTAGGGCATTATCACTACGAAATGTGCGGATAGAAACCCCAAATTGATTTTGAATTTCAGCATGAAAGGTCTGGAAAATAGAGAACAACTCAGATCGATTTTTCATCAAAAATATCCAAGTGCACCTGGAATAATTATCAATGAAACTGACAAGGTAGAGAAATCCTAAGGTAGAACTAACCCGACTAGGACCCCAAACATCTGAATGGACTAAAGTAAAAGGTGACTCTGCTCGACTATCAAGACACCGCGGCAAAATGGGAGCGAGTATGCTTACCGAGCTGACATGACTCACACTCTAGAATGGACAAGTGATATAAGTCAGGTACCATTTTCTGAAGTTTTGACAAATTGGGATGTCCTAACCGTTTATGTAATAAATCTACTGAATCAGTTACGGGAGAAGTTATTGGAGGAAGACAAGATGCGAGTCCATGTGATTTTCCAAGGATAAGGTAATAAAGTCCATCTGATTGAGAGGCCAATGACGAACAACAACCATGGATAGAAAAAGGCGGACTGATGCAATTTTAGCCACGGGAGAGAAAGTATCACTGTAATCGAGTCCAAATATCTGAGTATATCCTTTGGCAACAAGACGAGCCTTAAGTCGATCAACCTGGCCATCTGGACCAACTTTGACTGCATGCACTCAATGACAACCAACATTTGATTTACCCAAAGAAAGAGGAACAAACTCCCAAGTACCACTCGTATGTAAAGCAGACATCTCGTCAATAATAGTCTGTCACCATCCGGGATGAGACAGTGCTTCACCTGTAGACTTAGGGATGGAAATAGAGGACAAAGATGACACAAATGCACAATGGGGTGATAAGAGACGATGGTAACTGAAATCGATATAATGAGGATTAGGATTAAGTGTGGACCGTATACCTTTTTGTAGTGCAATCGATTGATTAAGAGTAGACAAGTCCGCAGTATTAGCAGGGTCAGGTGCATAACGCAAATCAGCTGGGCCTGATAATGGGGGCAGACGAAGATGATAAGTCAAGAGTGGTGGCACTAAAGTTAGAGTTAGTGGAGCTGGACTAGGTGGTGGCACTGGACTCGATGGTGACACTGGGGCTATAGGTGGTGGAGCTGTAACTGGAACTGTACGCGGGTGGAGCTATGGAGAAAGATGAATGGGAGATAGGGACTGAATCTCCAAAATAAGGAACAGGTAGCACCTCAGAAATATCTAAGTGATTACCCCTTGTTCGGTCTCGCAAAACCTTTTGGGCCGAGTCATATGGATTCGGGTTCCGGTCAGGGAGCTAATGATGGCATTTATAGGACAAAGTAGCGCGGCCTAGCTAGTTTTCCTATTGGTCATTTAAAAATAGTCAGCGTTTACCAAGTCAATAAAAAATAGCTACTATTTTGCTGCAATAGAGACCGGTCCAGCATAATATACTGGATTTCGATGCACCTATGTATGAATTTCCAGCATATTATGCTAGACCGGTATACTTTGCTGGCTCCAGTATAATATACTGGAGACTGGAGCACCGGTGCTCCAAACTCCAGTATATTATGCTGGACTGGTTGTTAGCTTAAATCGAGGGGAGAGAACAACGAATTGTGTACCTTGTTGATGCAGCGGAAACCGTTGAACTCACCAATAAAAGAGAATTGCCCCAAATCCGATTTCGTCTCTCTTGGAAACAAAATTCTTGTTCACGAACTAAATGCCTAAGTTATTGTGTTCTTCCTTTTGCAATTTTCTGCGCACTTCAATCTCTCTATTGAAGAGAAGAATATAAAGAAGAGGAGATGGGAAGAACTTCCGATGTTAACTACTACCCCACGTTCTCACGTTTCTCAAAAGAAAACGTGCGGTAGTTTTTAGGAGTTGGAACCTACGTATAACCTCCTTAGGTTTTATCCCCCTTTTTTAATTTCTTTTTAAAATGGGTCAGGTCAATCCACATGGGCGACCCACGACCCAAACCTTATATCCAACATCTCCCACTTCGCACAGGTGGACTAGATCCAAACAAGTAACTACCGTGAAAGCAACACACATAATTCATACCGACAAATAGTTCGTGCGACCTACGAGCATTAAGAGCCAT